CTCCATAAGTAGATCATATGGCCATTTCCAAACTCCTTCTCTACTTATTATCTGTATATTCAAATAGTGACTGAACATTTTGGTATATTTATAAGGGGATTCTAATATTGCATAGCATTTATAATACATCTGTAACAACGTTGAATACAAAATAAATGTACCTAATCAATGTATGAGGTACATACATCTCATTGCTGTGGGGACATTTCCCCTTTGTTCTTCTCATCATTCTTCTATTTAAAATGTTATCCTCCTAAGAATAGTCTGTGTTGTGGCTCCGTTACCTGAGCCTGTGTCATCGTCAGGAGAGGACTCCGAGAGTGAAGGGGAGGAGTTGGCAAGGCCTCCCTCTCCAGGACCCTCCTCTCTGGCAATGCCTTCGGTGTCCGCTGAAGGGCAAGAGATAGGGCCAGGGCCAAGCATGTCCACGCAGCCACAGATGGACAGTGATGAGGGTAATGAGTCTTGGCTGGACCCACGCCAGTGTCGCAGAGATAAGCGCGCGCAACAGAAGAAAGGGTGTGCCCGAGATTAGGCTGAGTCACTGGAACACACCCCACAGGATATAAAAGGGAGCGTGATGGCCAGTCAAACCTTGTGACGAACAAAGCTGAAAGCTTCCACGCCATTCTGCATTGCCGGACTTTTGCTTTAAGATTTTACTGGACTATCTCTGGACTTGAATGTAATTATTGAGCTGCTTTCCTTTGATGTATCAGAAGTGGGGAGAAGTTCTCTCTCCTCTTTGTAAATAATAAACTCTTGGCAGGCAGCCACTAGGTTGTTGCCAAGTTCTGTTATCTTAAGGAAAAGGATTTTGCCGGCTGGTTTGGTCTTTAACTCCTGAACGTCTGTTGGTGTGTGTGCATGGGGTTGGGGACAGAACAGTCTGAAATAATTGGGAGGCAGGTCCTTGATTATCAAACTGACACACTGAATTTGCACTTCACTTAATCAAAAAAGAAACATTCACTTTCTCTTTCTTGGACTTTCATATCTGGGCTGGAAAAATCTAAAATTTTTGGAAAAATATATTGCTGTGTTTAATCAGACGTATAGAAAACATCTCAGGTTTTAAAGACAAAGAATCTAAGCCTCCTGAGTAATACTTGTCAACCTTTCCATTATATCAATAGGGAGCCAATCTGTAATCAGAGAATGAACACATATTGCCAGTGTGAGATGGAATATCTGGGGTAGAACTGTCTTCACATCAAAGCAGAACCATCTTCTATGCTACTCCCTATGGTCAATAAAAACAATGTTTTTCATACATTGATAAATTCCAAATATTTGACATATAATTTGACATCTCATTTTATTTTATTTTCTGCTTACGTATCATCAAAATTACAAAAGAACATGAACATCTTTGAACTCTGTATCTGTTTCCAACACGTGTTTACAGATTATGGAATCTTGAACCAAAACAGGGGAATAAGAGGACAAGTTCATATCTGAAAAATGAAGCAAGACAGTTATTGTAGTCAGGTTATTATTGGTCTAGCTATGGCTTGATACTATTTCCAACCTTGCAGGTAAGTAGACCCATCAGAATGGTACCCACTGTCTTTAGAACAGTAGCCAAAGGAGGCATTTATAGACAGAATGGAATGGAATGGAATGGAATGGAATGGAATGGAATGGAATAGAATAGAATAGAATAGAATAGAATAGAATAGAATAGAATAGAACAGAGTTGAAAGGGACCTTGGAGGTCTTCTAGTCCAACCCCCTGCTTAGGCAGGAAACTTTACACCACTTCAGACAAATGGTTATCCAAACTCTTCTTAAAAGCTTCCAGTGTTGGAGCATTCACAACTTCTGGAGGCAAGTTGTTCCACTGATTAATTCTGTCAGGAAATTTCTGCTTAGTTCTAAGTTGCTTCTCTCCTTGATTAATTTCCACCCATTTCTTCTCATCCTGCCCTCAGGTGTTTTGGAGAATAGCTTGACTCCCTCTTCTTTGTGGCAGCCCCTGAGATATTGGAACACTGCTATCATGTCACCCCAGGCCTTCTTTTCATTAAACTAGACATACCCAGTTCCTGCAACCATTCTTCATATGTTTTAGCCTCCAGTTCCCTAATCATCTTTATATGTATGTGTATGTATATATCATGGGTCTTTGGGATTTTTTAAAATGTGTATTTCAATTTGAATCTAGCATAGTGTCACCAATGTGTGTGTATCTGTTTTCCTTTTGGTTGCCCTTCCAGAGACGGGTGTAAGGGAAAGGTCCCCCCCCTCTCTCTCTCTCTCCCTCCCTCCCCCCTCCCTCCCTCTCTCTCTCTCTCTCTCAGAAAATAAATAAATCAGTACGCATCCTCTCATTTGCAGCATAATGTGATATACAGATACTCTTAAGTATATGTATGATATCAAATACAACAGACTTGAAAGGAATCCTTGGTCTCATCATAAGAGATAAAATATCCTTTAAGATTCTTAACCAATGAATTGGTAATATGGGGTATGCTGCACTCTCATATGTTTGTATCACCAATTTTGCAGATGATTCAGTGCATATACAGTACATTTCTACTTGCTTTATAATCAGTCTATATTCTCCAGAATTATTACTTTTCGCTAGTTTTATTTTTATTTTTTCTTATTCTTAACCTACATGTTTATTGCTATCCTTCTTGAACCCTGTCTCTTTTTCTTATCCTATATTTCTTGATTACCTAATTGATTTTATTAAGCCTATTTGTTCAATCCTTACATACTCATACTTGTACAGATAGTCTTACAACCATTTGTTTAGTGACCATTCAAAGTTACAACAGCACTGGAAAATGTGATTTATGATCAGTTTTCATACTTATGATGGTTGCAGCATCCCCATGGTCACATGATCAAAATCCAGGCTCCTAGTAACTGGCATGTATTTATGACAGTTGCCCTGTCTCACCGGGAGACATGGTGTCTCAGGGTCATGTCATCACCATTGGTAATTTTCCCAGCCAGCTTCTGAGAAGCAAAGTCAGTGGGGGAAGTCAGATTTGCTTAACAACCTCATGATTCACTTAACAATTGCAGTGATTCACTTAACAATTGTGGCAAAAAAAAAAAAGATCATAAAATGGGCCGAAACTCTCTTAACAACGGCCTTGCTTAGCAATGTAAATTTTGGGATCAGTTGCAGTTATGAGTCAAAGACTACCTGTATTACATGTTTCATTCTTTTCCTATGCACTTCAGAGGTGGTATTAAGCCGGTTCGTACTGGTTCAGACAAACCGGTAGCGGCAACTGTGGGTGGGCCCACCCCCACCCACCCCCACCCACCCCCACCCACCCCCACCCACCCCCACCCACCCCCACCCACCTGCCCGGACGTAATACCGTCCTATTTAGCCATGTTTTTGAGGCTGGGCGCATGTGTGGAAGGTGCACACGAGAGCAAAGTGCACGTGTGGAAGGCCGGGCGCATGCGCGGAAGGTGCACGTGAGAGGTGAACCAGTGGTAAGGATATGTGGAACCCACAGCTGATGCACCTACTGTATATCTGTGGTCTATGTGGATGGGGAGAGATTATTTGTTTCCCTCCCTACCCAAGTCTCAGAGGCTTTCAGCCACTGTATCTATCTTTGATTCCCTCTTTTTTGACCTTTTCCGTTTCTGCAGAGTCACTTTCCATCACTGGCATTGCAAGATTGCTGCTGTTGCATGACTTGTGTTCCTGGATGTTACTGGGATTGTTCTGCTGCTGTATTTATTTCCTAATTTATGGGTGAAAGATATCAGCTTCCGGGGCTGGTTTTGTCCCTTTTACTTCCTGTAGTTCGTGTACTGCCCTGACTTTTGTTGGATTGGTACAGCTGACTTTACTGATTTAGCTAGGCTGGCTGTGCTCGCTTGATCAGATTGGCTTCATTGCTGTCGCTGTCATGAGAGAAGGAAGAAGGTGTTGCTGGTATTTCCCTGGGCTTTTTCACCTTTTCCCATTCAGCCCCTGTGCTTCATTTAGCCTCCCTGTCCTTTCTGCCTCCACACTGCTCCTGCAGCCTCCTGGAGCCATTGTCAAATGTGTTTTTGTACTAGCTCATATCTTCTCTTCTTCTCCTGTACTTTACTATGCTGAATTCCCTTTACGCGGCTATTTAATGGCTGGCTGTGCCAGCTACTATACTCCACATGGAAAGGTGCGATAGCTTTAAAGGAGAAGACAACATTGTTTCTCTTTTGTTCCTTATTTCCTCCTACATATCTCCCCCTTTAAATGGTCAAGGTGACTCAGGGGTGATGGTCCCTCTATCTTTTTACCACTGTGACAATAAAAGTCAGCCAGAAAGTTTTTTCCACTTGATGTTCCACACTAATCTAAATAGCTGTAAGGTTAAATGCTATATGGCAGTGATGGCTAACCTCTTTGCCGTTGCGTGCCAGGAGGAGGGGTGGGGGGTCACGTGCATGTGTGCCCACACCCATAATTCTATCTGCCCTGCCCCTGCGCATGCGTGCGCGACCTCCCACTAAGTCAGCTCCAGGCACGCGATGGCCCGGTAGGCCCGTTTTTCTCTCTCACCTGGCTCCAGACTCTCTCTAGGAGTCTGGGGAGCGTGAAAACGGCCTTCCCCCCCCAGAGGCCCTCCAGAGGCCAGAAACAGCCCATTTGCCAGCTTCCAGTGGGACCCACTGATATGGTCCACTAATATGGCTATGCGTGCCACCTGTGGCACACATGCCATAGGTTCGCCATGACGGCTATATGGGGATCTGAAATTAGTATCATTCTGGCTGGTCTGCTATCAGTCCTAGTAAAAATATACAGGTTCTGGAAAACATATCTCTACATTCATGTTATATGAAATTTGGGGAAACCTTGTCTTGTTCTAAAGGTACAGGTGGCCGCAATCATTCTACCCTTGTAAATTCATTCCGACAATGATCAAATGAAAGTATCTTTAACTTTATATGCAACAGGTATCTATATATCACAACTCGTTTGAGTATATTCAATGATTGGTAATAGATTGTGTTTCTATTTGTTACAGGTAAATCTAGATTTGTTAAGGAATACTACCCCCGTTTAGCCTCCTCATCTAGTGGGCAAGGAGGATTGAGGGATTCATATCTAAAACACCAAACTTGGTGAGTAATTTGTCATGTTTCAGTGGAATGCTGTGAGATATATTTGAATTCCAGATGAGCTCTTCATGAGATTAAATAATCTCCAACCAAATAGTATGGATTTAATTTAAACGAGAGGTTTGTTTTATGATTTTTTTTCCTTTCACGTTCTACTGAAGAAAGCAACTTTAAATTTCTCGTCTTGGTAGATATGAAGCTTGAAAGATTATTTTAAAGCAACATATATACAGAAATGTCATGAAATGGATTTCATTCTTTAAGTCAATGAAAATAGTTAATGCAAATAAAATGACTAGGCAGAAAATCCATTATTATGTTGGGAAGTCTGTTTTAATAATTGTATACTTCTTGCCTTTCTTGTTTTCTACATTTTATGCTTATAAAATTTAATTGATCCTTGCATGCTGGCTTGGGAATTCTGGGAGCTGAAGTCCATAACCTTAAAGTGTTCGGTTTGAAAAATTGCACTACAGGATGAAGGCCTTCTATCATGCTGGTCCAGTGCAGGTTGATAGATAGATGTTTTTCAACTCCCCAGTCTAAAGCTGACAGAGGGTGACCAACCCAAAGTCATCCATCCAGGCTCTGAGTCTAAGGAGTACAATCACATTCTCCCAACTACCAGTCCAGCATCTTAACCACTATACCAAACTGGCTCAGAGAGACAGAGCTATAAATCATTTCTAGTTTCTGGGAGAATAGTTGACCTCCAGGCAATGCCCTTTATTGTTTATGACTCAGACACAAAGTCTAATCACAAATTAATTCAAGCTCTAATTATTTGTCTCTGACATTTATTATCTGTATCTCATTATTCTGTTCTCATAGGTTTAGTACTACATTGTTTAGCTTTCCAAGCCATGTCCAACCTATAACCGCCTTAGCACCCAATGATCATGAATAGAAATGACATTTCAGAAATGTTTACAGAAAATATCCATGTCCACCTCATATGCATATAACTCGACAGAGAATTCAGGAGTATTTAGAAGCAATAACTGATTCCAAGTAGACTTTACCTTGCAATATTATGCTCTCACTTATTTTGATTCCCTAATCCTAATCCTCACTGCTCTTGCAGACTTGGATATTACTCTGAGAAATTTGCAACAGGATGTGGGGTTACAGTGTTGGAATTCATTGTTGAAATGTATTTTTATGCAACAGCTATATAGCCAGTAGATGGCAGTGTTTACAAGTTTGAATCTATGGTATATACTCTATGCTCTTTTGTTCTAAGTAGAGTTATCTGTTTCCTGTTACAGTTAAGTAGTTGAGCAGTAAAGCACATGGTGACTGTACTCTTTGTTTGTTCTGTATGGTGATTTATGTAAACAGAATTTCTAACATACAGACCAGGGGTGGGTTCTACTTACCTTTACTACTGGTTCGCAAAGGGATCGTGTGTGCGCTGTCGCTTCACACACGCATGCGCCTTGCTTCTGCGCATGTGCAGATCATTGATGAAGACATCCGGGGTGGTGGGCGGAGCCTCCCGCCGGTTTTACTACTGGTCCTTCCAAATTATAAATAACTGCTGTGTCACAACCAAAATTTTTTCCAGGTGGCCTCAAGCCATGGATTAGCTGCAAAGAATTAGTTAACAAAAGACAGCATTATTCTTAGTCAGTAAAATAAATAATGCTCTCAAATGGCTCCTTCATTTCTTGGACATCTACTTGCAATTGGCATCTGCTTAATAACTTTTAAAAAGATAAATGTCCTCATGCAGGATGAGAAATGGAAGAACAATATAAGCGGTTAGAAATAATCATGTAAATGTTATCAGTATTGTTGGAAAGGAAAAATCTAATGTTTTTAACCATAAGAAAAATAAAGAAGAAAGTCTGCAGAATAATATGACCTCTCCTTTCCTCTCCATTTTGCAGGTCAAAGTAGTTATGCAGAATTTCTAAGCCATCAAAAAAAATAAAAAAAAAAGACAGAAAAAGCCCTCTTGCAAGGCCAGGAAATAAAACAGGATACAGAATTTGGTTTATTGGTATCACATCTGCCAAGAAAATTTATGTTTCAAGACACTTTATACGTCAATATTTCCTTGAATATGCACTGAAAGACTGATTGATAAGGATTTAGCCTGGATTTTATTACTGTTTTGGTACAACTGTACTAGAAATGTTCTTATAAGAAAAGCATCTTACTTTCCCAGATGGTTATGCTGTTTATTAACTGGATCAAACAAAGGAAATACTAATCTGTATGTGAGTGTTTGACTGAGGTCCTATCTACCTATTCTCTATAATTTAAAACAAGTTCCATAGGAATAACTCCATATAGAAGCTGGTTTATGCAAAGGAATGTTCCATAAGACAGAACTGTTGCATTGCAATGAAGACACAGTGCATGTGTCTGGCAGAAGATCACTGTTTTATTAAAAATAAAGGAAGGTACCTTTAGTAATTAGTCTTGAAACACAATTGCTAGCTAATGCCCAGTTTAATTACTATATGGGGTTGCTGACTAGGAATCATTTATGGAGCTTTGAAAAACCATTTATACCAACTTGGAAAGATGGGGTATAACAGGTAGTCCTTAACTTACAACTACAATTGGGCCTAGAATCTTGGTGGCTAAGCAATATAGTCATGTGACCACTTTGCTTAGTGACTGCAATCACAGCACTTCTGGCTTTCATTGTTCAATGAACTTTCTTTCATTGCCATGAAAGAAAGCCTGCTCCTCTTCAGATACTTTGGACTTCAATTCTTATTAGACCCAGATTCTACCATTGTTAAGCTGCTGCCATTGTTAAGTGAAAATTGTGGGACATTAAGAGGGGCAGAGTCCCAGGTAAAACACACAGGAATGCTTCAGGGGAATGTGGGAGGCTTGACACAAGCTATGTACAGGTTGGGGAGATGTGCAGTGTGTTGCAAAACCACAGCCACTTCTGGTAGCTTCAGCCACGCCAACCAGTCCAACGGTATAGTACAAAGCTTCTGCACCCAGGAAAGTCTCAGCCACTCACCTGCTCCAGCAATAATTATGACTGCATGGCTGCTGCAACTCTTCCCACCCGCTTATCTGTCCCCTGATCTATGCCCTTTTAGCCACCCTGCACAGCAGCACATAGACTCTCAGCTATCTGCCGCTGCCCTCAGATCTCTAATTCAGCCCCAGTGCTAACACTGCCACTGAGAAATGCCACCTCACGACTCACATCATAGCCATCACGCCAACACCATTCTGCAAAGTCCCAAATGCCCCCACTGACCTTTACCATTTTTCTTCCATTGCTGGCAAGCATACCTAGCCTATATGAGGAAGCTGGTGTCTGTGCCAGACCTTCTTCCTGAGGCCATCTTGTGCCATTCTCCAAGCACCATTGCTTCTCCAAATTGCACAGTGCTTTGGAAGAGTCATTCCCGACTGGCATGCACATTTTGGGGGGAATGAAGCTTCTGAAGCAAGACATTATCTGCAGAAGGAAGGGCATGAACAGCTTGGAGAATGGCATGAGGCAGTCTCAGGAAGAAAGTTTGGAGTGGCCAGCTGCTGCCTCACATAAACCAGGCATGCCTCTCAGCAGCAGGACAAAAATGGTGAAGGTCAGGAGGTCATGGCAGAGGCTGTGAAGTACAGGGTGGTGGGTTCAATTGGGGCTTTGCAGTGCTTGTGTGTGGCTTAAGGGGTTGGAGTAAAAGCCTGGGGGCATTCGCAATGGTTGTAACCTTGGACATGGATTGTAAATTCAGTTTTCACTGCTGGGTTATAATTTCAAATACTCTCTTAACAAATTGCCATAAGTCAAGGATTATCTGTAAGCATAATGAGTAAGTATTCCCAAAATCAGAATAATGCTTGGTTTCACTGGCATTGTGAAAATCATCCAACCAAAAAAAAAGAGGTATTTATTATGGCCAACCACCAGCTGTATTATCTAAATAGATTTGCAGTATCTCACTTATAAGATTAAAATGCATAGGAGATTGTAACCTCCATTTGATAATATTACTGCTTAAGTCAGTCTAGTTTAGAGCATAAATCCCATAATAGCTTGCTACTTAGAATCTGGGTCTAATAAGAATTGAAGTCCAAAGGAGCAGGCTGAAGAGGAAAAGGCTTTCTTTCATGGCAATGTATGAATAATAATTTACCAGATTTAATTCACTTACATATATAGCCATATAACCTCTGTTGATGTAACTGAATTAAAAGTAAGAAATAACAACCTTATGGACAGAAATAACAACCTTATGGACAGCTAGTTCAGTATCAGATGGGAATTTAAAAGAAAAAAGAAATGAAAATAATAATCCCTTTAAATATGTGCCTTTTTGCCTGACTTGTCAGAAGATACATGATAAAAAGTGACTGATAGTAACTTTACTGATGTATCAAGCATGACATGTGGCACAAGAAATACAAAGACAGAAATGATGAGAAATGTGCAGACAGATGCTTTTGGCAGCAACATTTTCAGAAGAGCATTTCATTCTTGACAGGCCTGTATCTCTTTTTAATGAATGGCAGTATTTCTGTCCAACAACTTCCCAATTTGCATCCTTAATTCAGGGTTTTGGGTTTTTTTTAAAAAAATATCCAGAGTAATAAATGAATAGTTAACCTTTAATGACCACTTAGCAATGTGACCAGAACTTCCATTGCTAAGTGATCATTAAAGGAGTCACCCCTGATTTTATGATCTTTTTTGCTGTGATTGTTTATTTATTTATTTATTTATTTATTTATTTATTTATTTATTTATTTATTATTTAAATTTTTATACCGTCCTTCTCCTGAGGGACTCAGGGCGGTGCACAGCCAGCAATAAAACACACATATACATAAAATTTAAAAACAATTTAAAATACATTAAATAATTTGGCCCCAATATTATTAAAAAAAAACTAAGACAACCATTAAAATTCATGTTTAGGCCAGCCCAGCTTGTTGGAACAATAACGTCTTGAGGGCCCAGCGAAAGGCACGTAGGTCAGGGATCATCCATATCTCCGGGGGCAATTCATTCCAGAGGG